GGCACCTGTTTTCCTAGTAATAATGCAGTAAATACTTATGCGATATTATTCGTCACGTAGATTAGGGGGTTACGGCACGATTCCCCGAAAGCCATTTACCCGACAGGACATTTACCCGACATCACATAGGTGACAAATTGCTAAAAATATATACCTACAGCTAATTAAATGCTAAATCTAACCTATGTAATGTCGGGTAAATGTCCTGTCGGGTAAATGGCTTTCGGGGAATTGAGCGACAACCGATTAGGGACGTTTCAAATAGCTTGGGTAATATCAATAGCCTGATCAACGCTCCAAATAGGTCAGGGTGGTGGCTCTTGTAACCCTGGAGGTATGGTGCTCTTGGCGGTACCCCACTCTAAGGGATGGTTTCGTAACGCTCTCTGTAAGTAGCCAAGGTAGCTTTTTACCAGGCTCTTCGCTCTCTATCAAACACCCTCGTATTCATTTACGTCCTGTTGAGAGGTGAGGCAATACACTCTGCAAGTAGCCTAAATAGATGTAAACTATGACGGTAACGGCCTGTGGATTCTGGAGGAGGATCTATATGTCTCTTCTTTTATATAAAAGAATTGACGGTTGATGTGTTTTATCTAGCCATCCTGACCTAATTTAACTATCTGAGATATTACTCACACGTTTTTTCTAATCAGAAGAGGAGTATAATGAAGAGTATAGTTTAATACTATCCAAAAGTTATTGTATATTTAATATGGTAAGCTTCGATTGATCTGGTTCGAACATTAAAGTGTTCTATCGATACATCGATACTGCGGCATTTACGGATTAGTTTAAGTATTTTTTTTAATGCTCTGTTATTATTTTTTTTTAAACTTATATTTACCTAATGATGTTATACTCATTCTTCTTATTCAGGTTAGGTTATAATTTTCTAGAGGATACCAATTCAAGCTGTGTCACGAGATCACAGCGTTTCTATATCTTTCGTTACAATAATATAGATTACAAGCTTAATCAATTAGGTTTTATATATGCTATATATAAGTGGAAGCGGAATTTAGGTGGATTTAGAATTTTTAGAATTTTGGGCTAGGGCGTAGGTTCATATAATTTAAATTCTATCCTAAAATTATAATTTTATTACAAATTCCAAATCCACTAAAATTTTGTTTAAACTTATAACACATATAAGAGTTTTGCTTATTGACTCTAATTTTCCTCTTTATGCTTATGAAATACAGTACAAGGTCGAAAATCACGATGGCAAAAATGCCATGAAATAAGAGTAACATGGGAAACTATTTTGGATCTTTTGAAATTTTAAATTGAATGAGTTGACTTTATTAAAGGTAAACCTTGTCACTTATATATATTTTAATTATATCTGATGTATCTTTTTATTATTTTATAATTTTATTGATTGTTTTTAGGTGAAATAATGTCACCTATTTTCGGGATACCACAGGAATGTTTAAGAAATGTATTACTATGCAGCGAGAATATTAGGACATATAAAATGTTCGAATATTAGCGCATAGTACGCACAGCACGCAGCACATTACCAATAACAGCACAATCAAGGGCAAGGCTTATAATGAATTTTTGCTATACTTTAGGAAAATTTCTAATAATCCAAATGCATCAAGATTTTTAAGGTCAAATATTTTTAAAGGTTAGTTAAATTTATAGATAGAGCGGGTCTTGACTGACGAGATTGTCCAGGTTTTTTGAGATATTACAAACTACGTGATGGATAGCTTGAGTAACATCAATAGCCTGATCAACGCTCCAAATAGGTCAGGGTGGTGGCTCTTGTAACCCTGGAGGTTCGTGCCTCTTGGAGGTACCTCAATCCAAGGGATGGTTTTGTAACGTCTCTGTAAGTGGCCAAGGTAGCTTTTTACTAGGCTCTTCGCTCTCTGTCAACATCTTCGTACTCATGTACGTTCTGTTGAGAGGTGAGGCACTACACTTTGCAAGTAGCCTAAATAGATGTAAACTATGATGGTAACGGCCTGTGGAGGATCTATGTCTCTTCTTTTATATACAATAAAAGAATTGACGGTTGATGGGGTTTATCTAGCCATCCTGACCTAATTTAACTATCTGAGATATTACTCACACTTGTTTTTTCTAACCAGAAGATTAGTATAATGAAGTATGGTTTAATACTATCAAAAAGCTATTGTATATCTTAATATGTAAGCTTCGATTTCTATCGATATTGTGACATTTGCGGATTAGTAGTTAGTCTGATAAGTATTTTCTTTTAATGCTCTGTTATTATTTTTTTAAACATATATTTACCTAATGATGTTATATTCACTCTTATTCCGGCTGGGTTACAATTTTCTATGGACTACAAATTCAAGTCGTGTCACGAGATCACAGCGTTTCGATACTTTTCGCTTACGGTAATGTGTATTACAAGCTTAATCAATTTAAGTTTTATGTATTCTATAAATGGGAATGTATTTAAGTGAATTCAGAATTTCTTAGAACTTTGGGTTAGGTAGTGTAACGAATTAATTTTATAATCTTACCCTTTTTGGTGTAATTGATTAACTAAATTAGTATCGTGATTGTTAAAGCCCTCTGCGTCAATGTTTCTTTACTTAATTTCCTTGTCAACATCTTTTTAACATAACTTAACCTTTGGGCGAAGGAGGCAGTGTGTATATTGAATTTTCCCGTACCAACAATTTTGGTTAAAATGTAATACCCAAAAAGTAAATGGCATAACTCGATTTTTACGTATCGATGATGCAATAGATTGAAATATCACATTAATTGCAGATGATCACGGGAATGTCGTAATAATTACTCGAACCATGATAACTGTCATCTTACGTATTACGAACACGTTTTCCCACACACAGGTCAATTGTTAAAACCTTCAGACCCAGAATTGAGTTATAAAGATTAAGGTTAGGATTAAGGTTAGTTTGGTGTTGATATAAGAGGAATATAGGTAAAATTGCCTTCCCGACATTTTTAATTTGTGCCCCAAGGTAGGTTTAGACTGCAATTTTTCGTCTTTTTGCATTTTCTTTATTTTTTGACTTCTTTGATAAACAAAATTTCGCAATTTCGGTTGGTTGATTTACACAAAAAAGTCACATGGGTACATGGCTTAGACGACCCCTATATTTGGCAAGAACATGATGTTAGTGTTTTTTTTTTTTTTTTTTTTATTGATTGGTAAATTTGTTAAGACCGTTTTTTTTTTTTTTTAGTAAAAAAAAATTTATTTTCACTATGCTTCTGTTTGCAGCAAGTACTTTGAAACCTTCCCTTGTGATCTCTGGTCCTTACAGAACTTTTTTTCATGCATCAAGCTCAGCGACGATAGTATGAGTTTTGATCTGGTTATTCAAAATTTCTATTATTCGTTGGGCAACATTAAAAAAAGTTCGCAGGCACCCGAAATCACAAGGAAGGTTAAATAACTTTTAGGCACAAAGGAGGTTAGTTAATTAGGCAAAATTTTGTGTTATAGATTTTTTTTATTGCTGTTTAGCCCGCACTCTTGGACGATTTGTTTTGACCAAGAACTCAAAAAAATGTAGAACAAACAAATGAAAGGAATGTATTTAGTGACATAAAAGAGACGGTTGCTGCTTCGGCAGCTCAATCCAAAAAAAGAAAAACCTCTAATGAAGAAGGTGCGGCCTCGTCAACTAGGCAGCTGGAGTTACCACGTAAGATTAATTTGGTTTAAAATAATGGATATTGAATTGATACTTGTTATTTTACTTTTATTAATTAATTTTCATGTTTAATAGACTCCATAACACGATCTGAAATTTATAAGAAAATAGCTTTCGGACGTGTTGAGCTAGGAGAACTCGACTTTTCATCTAAGTCATTAAACTTGCCGGAACTGATTCAGAGTTATTTGGCTGAAAATCAAATGCCAAATAGCGGGACAACTGAACATGATGTGCAAGAATGGTTTAATGGCTTGATAAGAGTTGCAAGTAGTGTTTGCGGCGAAACTATTTTTGGAAAATGGCGAAAGACGAAACTAAACCGGTGAAAGACGTAACCAGGCGAAACTTTGGCGAAATGGCGAAACTCTGGCGAAGCCTCTGGTAAAATTGAAACCCTGGGAAAAGTTAAAACTCGGCGAAGATCAAGCCATCTAAGATTTTAAAAAAGACTGAGTTATTTAACAATATACAAAAGCAATAAACAAAATGATAACCTTTTGTTTGTATTCAGTACTATTAAAGAAAACTAGATTTCCGGCTTTTGGAACTTCGGAGTAAATAAATTCAGCCTTGAAAATTCAAAGCCTAAAATCTTTTTTTTTTTTTAGTAGCGCTTATCTATGGATGAATATTATTTATGTAAAATAAACCCATCTAAATATTTAAATAACTTTATTGTTAAAGTGTTGAGATTTTTTCTTTTTAATATTTCATCGTTAAAAACTTTAATTAAATATTGCATACGTGCCCAGTAACGGTATTATCCTTCTGGCCATGACGATCTGCATAAATTTTTTTTTTTTGTTTACTATATATGTACAATAAATATGTATAAATTTTATACATTATGTTAGACTGACCAAACGTATGAATTCTGAACTGAATAATTAAGGTAATGAAAATCCGGTAATATAAATATGTAATTTTGTAACTTTTGTTTTATGTAATGATAATAATTAGCAATTAAATATTTCTACTTAGACTAGCTCAAACGAACAAGCTATTGAACTAAGTAATCAAGATAATAAAGACTTGGTATTTCAAGACGAATCCTGATTTTCAAACCCGTACCCCATTATCAGATATTCAACCAACTCTGTTACTCAAACCCGTTCTGGTATTTATGATCCTGGAAACCCTCACCCTAACGCAATCAAAAAACAAAAAATCTGACAATTTGGGTAATCAACTCTTGAAAAGCAAATTATTAATAATTATTACATTACGGCTAGTACTGTAATTCTTAAATAAATTAATATGCATCATAAGATACGTAATATAATCAGCATTATAAAATATGTATAAATTGTTTAATAAAGTTTAAATTCCGATACGTATTGGAATTTTTAAGTAAAAAATAATTATATTATTGACCGATGCAGATCATAATGGCCTGAAGGATAAATAAGTATACAGGAATTTTTTTTCAGCGGATTTAATGTCATCCCATGTGCTGCGTAGCTATACATGGGTGCCTAAATTATTTTTGAAAAATCGTATTTTCGGCAAACATTTCGGCATTGCTAAATTTTTTATAT